CGTAGATCATCGAACCATTTCTCCCACCACAATTTGTTGAGTGATACTGTATCCTCTAAATCTACCCTCGCATCAGATTCCATCATTACCATATCATCACCCATGATCGTGAGACTAATATCCAACATACCTTCTCGTAGGAGAGCCCCTCGCATATTTTTCAAATCCTGTTTTCTATGAAGGCGACTGACCATAGCACCTCTACACTCCTTAATTCGCCCTTCAACCACCTCAAACTCTAGGTGAGCCTAAGGTTTCTTCTTTTCCACCCACTTTTTCCCTATTGGTGTCTCAACTAGACGGGGTGCTTTAATCTTGTCCGCATATGTATTCCCTGACGTCTTTGTAGCTCCTTTGACAAATGAGTGTTTCGTTTCACTGCCCTCCGCAGACACCTTTATACCCACAATTTTCTCCCTTGCATGCCTCGTCCAGTTGATAGACAAGCGCATTCTGCCAATAACAATAGATCTAAGCTTAGCCTCTAAACTCTTGGCATCCGCCACATCCATAAAACGCACAAAACCAAAGCGACGTCCTAATTTATCACTCTTTTGAGGTATGAAAACATCAACCATCTTCCCCCACTGTTGAAATACCTGCCACAAGGCTGAGATACCGGTAACAAGTGAAAAATTTGTAAAAAAGTAAGAGGTAGAATTGTTGAGAACTTTTCCAAGATGCCCACCAAATTTACCCATTTCCCTAGACCTCCGTTCCACCATTGAATTCTCCAACTTCTCTTTTGCGTTTCAAATTAAGAAGAGACCAGAAAATTGGGTCTGTAGATGAAAGACTCAAACCGATGAACAAAAAGCGACAGCGTATTCAGATTCAAATATTCTACGATCAGCAGTGACAAAAACAATAATCTTTCGTCGCCAATTTGAATACTGATTCTGCAATTTCAATTATCACCATTGTCACTATCTCACACGCAATAATAATAATAATAATAATAATATGTTTAGAATGCAGTGTTAATAGTTGTCGTTGTTACAAAAAATTAGGGGCATAGGATTTGGTCCTAGCGGCGAGGGCTCAGAATTGTATTTCGTGCGTTCAAGTCCTGGCTGCAAGATTTTGTCCGCAACTCGCAACTAAATGTCAAAAGAAATATACGAAAGGGTGTATTTGATCCAATTCAATTCAACCCCCTTTCACAGACCAAACCGCACAAAGAAGACGGTGGAAAGAGAGGACGTTGAAAAAAAAACTTTCAGGAAAACTTGATAAATATAGTTATATAACCTGATTGTGTTGGGTTTTTTTTTCCAGCATCTCTAGTTGATCTCACCTCTTTGCACCCTACGATTGCCTTTGTCTTCATTCTCGGCATTGTGCTACTCTATTCTCTTTGTTCTCTGCCCTTTTCTCCTTCAAGTTGCCTCTTTGTCCATCATTTTTAGATGCAAGCATGATTGAGTGGTTATTGACAGTGAGTTCAATTGTGTTGCTTCCTCTACCCTTATTGTAGTATTTTAGCATTACTGTTTCTTTGAGTTTGTCTTCCTTCAAAATGTTTATAAGTGAGAAAGATGTACCTACCAGCAAGAGAGGGCAATTGGAAAGTAGAAGAGTGATTTTAAGTCTAACCATTGGTAGTGCTTATCCAAGTTCAATGAAAAAATTTGTTGGTGCGATTTGGCAGCATAAGATATTAGGGGATGGAAATGTACGAAAAATATAATACAAATATTGTCTCAAAAAGATGTAGGTTCTTACACTTCTATGGTAATGAAGTGAAGATAGAAATGTGGTAAGTTGTGTCCTTTTTTACAAGAAAAATTTATCAAAGCATGAAATAACATCCTCAAAGACCTTGTAGAAGGTGATGGTAGTGAAAAAAAAAGGGGATTGAAGTTTAGAGGAGTGATAATATTTTTAAGAAAAGAGGTGTAACTAGTCAAGCTACTTTTAATAACATATTCAAAAATAATTTGAGAGATGAAGCATGTCAAGCTATATTTTCTTTTTTCTACAATAATGTCATATTATTTAATGTGGCAAGGAGTAAGGAATTTCATAAGACATTAGAATATGATGTTAGATTCACGCCACCTTCCTATAAAATCAAAGTTAAGTATTTGAAATATTATGTAAATTTGACCATACAAGCTATTGAAGCATATAGAGAACAATGGAGAAAACTGAGATGCACCATAATGACATATGGTTGGATTGACAAAAAGAAGACTATGCTTAATCAAAGTTCTACATTTGGTCGATTTAAATGAGATACTAGCTATGAGGTTCATTTATGAAGAAATAGATAGAGTTAAAGAGAAGATAACAAAAGTCTTCAATGACAGTAAAATAAGGTAAATAAATTATTAAGTTAAGTTGATTTTAAAATTTTGTTTTTTGTTTGAAAAATAATTTAATTTTTTTTATCTATTATCTCTCTCTATGAAATGTCATAGATAAAAGATTAGACAACTAATTTCATAGGTCATTGCATGCTACAACTAGAGGTGTTAATAAGGTCTAGCCCATGGGCTAGTTTTACCTAGCCCTAAATCAACTCATTTATCTCTAATATAATATTTGTTTAAAAACTAATTTAACCTAAAATTAATTAGCTCATAACATGCTGCATTAAGGTAGTTCATGGGTCAATCTTGACTCTAAAAGGATGTACATGTTATTTATAGATTCATATTCAAAGTCCAAAATACACTCTCTTCTCTTTTTCTTCGGCTGCTAAATGACACAAATTCATTACAATGGGTTTGAAGAAAGAGAAGGAGCTCGTTGGAATAGTGGTAGAACTCTACAGAAGATGGTCCAAAATAATTTTAATGTTGTTGTTGTTACTTTATTTGATTGTTTTTTAAAACTTGAAGGTTTCTTGGATTATAACAAAACTTCTAATCATTTAATTAATTTTCCTTCTACTACATTCATTATTATATGATTCTTATTTTTTTCTTATAACATAATACTAATTTCTATACTTTAAAAAAATATTTATTTTAGTCCTTTTGATTATATAATTTTTTTTAATTTTTAAATTTTACAAAATAATATTTATTTTAATTTTTAGTATAAAATGATAATAAAAATAAAAATAATTAAAATGAATAAATTTTAAAATATTAAAAATTAAGGTGAAGTTTTTATAAAACTAAAAATTAAATTATGTAACATTTATAATTTAAAGACAAAAATATATATTTACTAAATATTCTTATACTCGTGTAAGTAGTCTAAAATTTTTTACACTTGATCTGAGTATTTTATTTAACTTATATTTAACGATTAATAAAGTAATAAATTATAACCCATTAGATATAAGTTAAATGAAAGATTTAAATTAAATATAAGAGTTTGTAGACTTATACAAGTATGAAAAATTTTTTCCCATTGAGTGTATATCTAACTATTTAGTTACATACCCATTATTTTTGTTCATTAGTAACTGCATAAATTACAAATTTTGTATAACATATATTTTTAAAAATTACAAGATATTTTTAAATTTGAAAATTTTGAGGCCAATTTCTAATTATTTGTGGTTACAAGTAGGAAGAAATTTACACATAATAAAATTCAAAAATAAAATTTAATATTAAATAAATTACATCTTTCAATTAAACTTGGTTACCACTATTCAAGCCTTATTTTGATATATAATAAAAATGACATGAAAGCAAGTCAACATGAATTTCAATATTGATTTATGATTAAACTTTTATTAACTAACATTATATGATTCACATTTATCAATTTTTTTTAATGGGTAAGTAGACAAGAGATAACATTGCTTTAATATATACACACACAATACAAGAAACTATTATATATGAATTGTATAACCATATTATAAGATATAAAATTTATTTTTTTTGTCCCAAAAGACTTTGACTCTAACCTTAGTACTGTAGGCTTTTTGGCTTACAGAACTTTTAACCCTAACCCTTGTAGGCTAGGGATAAAACTGCAACCAATTAAACTTTTTGGCATCTCTAGCTGTAATCTATTAACTCAATCTATTTTACAGTATATTCTTGAATTTAACATTGATTTTGAAGTTAAATGTGAATTTTATGATTATATAGAAAGAAAATGACTAAGATTGATGCTTAATTTGAACATTTTAATGCAAAGAAGCCTTTTTTTAGCGATAAGACAATGCTAAATGCACTTCAAAACCTCTAAAGCTTTGAAGATTTCCTATTTACAATAATTTAACATGTAGCTCCTTTGAATATAAGTGTAATTAGAGTGCTTTTAAGTTGGTAAAATGTTAAAACTATAAAAAATTGTATTTAATTATTTACTTATTACTTGTACTTACAATTAATTAATTGTATTTGTATCTTTTTTAGGTTCACATAAAGGGACGAAACCATTTGAAACAATGAACCACGAATGATGTTTATGTGGTGAATAATTCAAGATTAGCAAAAACAAAGACATCTAGAAAAGTTATGAAACTTAATATTGATGATCTTTTATCAAATAATGAATAAAGTTAAATCCAAATGAAGACTTGGAACAAGTTGGTGATGAATCATGACACTAATCATGACAATAATCTTGTCAATTTAGATGATTTAGAGCTGAATTAAATGAAAAAGATGATAAAGAACAAATAAAAATGATTATTATAATTAAAACTTGAATGATTTGTTAGAATAAGAAATAAAGATGTTAGACTAATTATTTTTTTACATTATTTTTAAATTTAAGACTATTTTTTCTTATTTATTTCATTTTTAATGTATACACATGTTTAATATAATTTTGCATGTTAGATGATCTACGATACTACGATTTATATGTTTTCCTCTTCCTTTCAGTCGTAGAATCTCAATTTTGACTACCATGATTTAAATCTTTCCTCTCCAATAAACACCACTTTAAGCGAGATAACAATATGTATTTTTAAATATTTTAAAGCAAAATCATTATTATCACGTAAGGAACACATTCATAGTTGCAACTATTAAACAATGAGACAACAATAGACACACAACAACAGAACTTAGTTCCTTAACTTATTTTGATATTATTTGTAAATGGAACAGCATTTTATTTCAATGAATGGCAAAATGAATGACTGGCATTTAAGAACGGCACATAGCTCATGTTACCGAGATGTCACTCCAATTTTAATTGAAGAATAAAATAAAATAAAATAAAAAGTCTAAAAAACTATGCTTAGTTTTGTCCTCTACATAATTCAAAGTATAATAAATAAACTTTTTTTTTTGTTTTCATTATATTGTGCTAAGTATAAAAGCAATACATATACACCCGCCTTTCTAACCAAATAACAAAAAAGAAGAAAACAGATTTAAAATACAACCTTGACAAAATGAAAGAATTGGACCTGTCCACCGTCTAGGGTCTTCATTGCTACAATATGCAAACATTGGAAGAGGCAGCAGCAATTTAAAAGGAGAAACTAAAAATCACTCTCCATGCAGCGTCACATTCAAACTTGGGCACTAACCACAGCTACGTCCATTATATAGGCCGAAAGCAAAACGCTATGAATAAGAATCCAAGTAAGGTATACCCAATAAAACCACACTACCCAACAAATAAGAGCATTTTAAGATAACTGAGGAAAGGTATATTAGATAAAGAAGTAGATGCCACTCATGGTTTCAAGTCTAGAACAATTCGAATTTCTTTTTCAGCATGTCTTGCTTCCATCTTGGCAATTTATAGAATGCTTCTTTCGCCATTCCAAAAACAGTTTCGAACTCTTCTTCCGACAGGTAGGCCTGACCAACAAGTGGAGAAGAAAAATGTTACATCAACCCAAAGCATAAAATTAAAGGGAAAATCACATATCTTCCCTGAGAACTGAAGTATTAAAAATAAGTAATATTTAAAAGATTATTATTCATTAAAACTAGAGGGGTGGGAAAATTCATGGAGGCGCCTGTAAATTATCCTATTTAAGGGTGTCAGTAATAATTCAAAATTTCAGTAGAGGTCTATATATTATCAAACTAAAACTAACATAAAATAAAATCAAAGCAAACCAAAACTAACCTCTCTTCGGTTAAGATCAATTCCAGACAAATTAAAACCAGATTTAGTCTTTAATTGATCATAACTGAGCGTCTTTGGACTACTTTGAATATCATCTCCATCCTCCACATTTTCTTGTTTCGGCTCCAAATCCCCATTCCCACCAGTTTCAGGGGCAAGTTCCGCTATTTCCTTGGCTTCTTCAACTTCATCGCCTTCAGAGTAGGCAGTCTCACTTTTAGCTTCTGCAGGAAGAACTCAAACTTGAAATGGTCAGTAACTAATACAAATGATTGTACAAAAGCAAGTCAAAAATTTTTTATGCAAAACTGGCATTTGACTTGGAAGATTCCTATTGAGGAAAAAAAAGGCCTATAAGAGTTATTAAAGTGGTATGTGCAATTTCTTCGCTTAAATCTCAATAAGGCAGGGGTTTTGAAGCAACAATGTAGTGTAGGGTCTCCACGTTTAGTAGTTTACTAGCATATGGTCAAAGTACTAGTCATCGAAAAAAATTCATGTAATTGCAGTGTATATTTCTATCATAAACAATATAGGATAATTGGAACTGAACAAAAAGGATCTACATCAATTATTCGAGGAGAAACACAAAATATAATATGATGTTGTAAAATATTCAACTAAACAAACCCACTTTGGTGTCCTGTTATTCAACATCACATTTAAACAATATGAACATTGTTTCTCACCAGTAAAGCTACCTTCAGCACCAGGACTACTGCTAGCCACAGGAGAAGAATCAGGTGAAGTTTTCTTCTTCTCAGCAGTAAGAACTGATGAAAGAGCGGCCACTGCTGCTGCTCTTTGTGATCCTTGACTTTTTCCTGATGGCCTAGGAGTAAAATTCTTTGTCCCGGATGATGAACTAAATGCAGAGTTTAAAGCAGCTAAAGCCTCTGCCCTTTGTCTTGGTCCTCCTTGGTTTAACCCATTCAATCTATCCTGCGACTGAGATTGCAAAGGGTTAATTGGGTCACTGGAGATAATTCAATAAAAGAAAACCATATAACCAAGGCAAAACAAAACCACATGAAAAAAAAAATAATGAAGGTAAAAAACAGAAAATTGAAAAATCTTCAAAATACAGCACGTCCTGTGAGTAATTGCAAAGGGTTAATTGTGATCAGTGCAAAGAATAGAAAGAGGAATTAGTAAGAGTAAGAATAGGAATCCTATTCTACTTCTACACTTTCACACCATTTGAGATAAAAATGGCACAAAAATGTATGCCCCTACCCCACCCCACCCCACCCCACCCCACGTCCTCTCTCTGTGCCCCCACCCCACACACACACCCCCCACTCTATTTAAGGTTGTCAAACTCTCAAGTTAAATCTTAAACTCTTATGAGTTTACAATCCTAGGTGCATGAATCGAGTTAACTCACTATCAAGCTCTTTTCTGGATAAACTTTGGAAGACTCGATAAACTAAAGCAAACTCAAACTCACAAGTCAAGAACTGGATTAAGGAGTTTGAAATCAAATGCAATTTTTTTGCCACCAATTGGCCCACAGCAAAATTCTTTTCATCCTAGGGCTCAAATCAAATTACACAAATAAATCAAATGCCACTACTGTCCACACTTCATTCCTCACTTTAAAGGATCCAAATTTGGGTTGGTTAAAATGCCTTTGGTTTAAATATCATAGAATATAAAATTAAAAAAATAAATAGACATGGAACAATTATATAGAAATAAGTAATCATACCATACTGGATGATTTCTCAGATGATGAACTAAAAGCATTAGATAGGGCAGCCAAGGCTTCTGCTCTTTGTCTTGGTCCGGCTACACTTGACCCATTTAACTTGTCCTATCACCAGAATCAGCAAAGCCTTGGTAAGCAACAGAGGCACACACAACATATTAATTAATGCAACAACAAAGTCAGACAAGATATTTGACACTGACAATTTTGCATCTCCACAAGCTTATACAACTAGTAACAGGATAAAGAAAGAAAAGAAACATGGAAAAAGAGGTTAAGAATTATTGTTAGCTGAACAAGTGACAATGTTAGCTAGACATGGAGGGCTATGGAGGCTGGCTCTTAAGAAGGAGCAGATTAGTTAAAGCATATCAAGAGTGACAAAATAAAACCAGGTTTAGAATTAGCCATTAAACTAATGTTAATTAAACAGAAAAGAGACATTTCTATAATTAATTAAAAAGTATGATTAGTTGAACCATACCTCCACAGCATGGCCAACGCCAAAGAGTAATGACACCTTTTTCTGGAATGAGTTCCCCTGAACCTGCATTTCATAAGGAAAATACAGCATGAAAAACCAACAAATTAAGATACACGTTACCCAAACTAGAAAGATTGAGCTACTTAAGAATTTTTTCTTGTTATGGTGAACTTTTTCCAAAACAATCACAATCACCTCATCATTTTGGAAAAACCAAAAAACATTAGATCTAGTTTTACAGTGTAAGTATGCTAACAGCATTAAGCAGCACTGCATCGTGCATGGAAGCAGTACCCAATTACAAATCATGACAATAATATATCGAGATTTCCCAATACCACAAGTCAGACAATAATATGTTCTGTTCTCAATCAACAAAGACATGCAAAAAATTATGAATTTACAGCTAAATCTTAGGAGAGTGGGAATAATTTTTTAAAGGGAGAGAGAGAACAAAACAGAAAAGGAACAGGTTATGTTTAAGTACATTACCGTAGACTTTGCATGATCCCATGAAAAGTATGTTGTGAAAAAACATGGTTCGTTCCCTTCTGTTACTTTATATAGTGGTACCTGTGGAGATAGTCCCTCCAGAGATGCAGCCATGTCTACGTATTTCTGAGGGAAATTTTCTAGCATATATCAACAATTTCAAGTAGGAGGAAATATGGGAAATAACAGCCCTAATTTGTTTAGTATGTCTACCTGGCCAATTTCAAAAGCATTTTGCTTTTCTTTTGCATCCACACACTGACCAATCCAAATAAACACTTCTGCATGTGTGTCAAGTATGAGGATATCCTCCGTCAATAAATCATCTTGAGAGAAGTTGTAAACCTCCTCCACCTGCAGAGTAAATATAAAGATAAATTTAAAAGACATGTATAACCCCCAATGATTCCTGCTGACATATTTCCTAAAAATAAGAAAAATTTTCATTATAAAGTTGCTATGACAAACTCACATGTAACTTTCCTGGTGGATCCACAATGACAAAGAACAAACCAAAAAAGAAATGGTCAGTATACTGGTAAATACGTATGCAATTGCATAACATTTTATAATAATATGAGAAGAAATGTTACCCTTATTAAATGAGAAAGTGAACAAATGCGGGTCCCTGACAACATCATTAGTAACTTTCTTGCTGGTATAACTTTGTTTTCCACCTAGTGCAAACCAGAAAGCTGAGCTTTCTGTTCCTTCTTTAGCATGCTTTAAAGCAACTCCTGGCTGAACATGGACATGAATCACATAAGAAAATAATGTAAATAGCAATACAAATATTATTTTACTTTCAAATTAAAAAAAATTACTCAGTTCATAAGCAAAAAAATATAAATTAAGAAGAGCCACAGGTAGCTACTAGGGATGCACTTAGGTTTGATAAAAAGGATATATAGACATACAGTCAGTTTGAATGATTTGATCTAGAGGTAATCAGTGCTATTTAAATGTGTAAATATGATGAACTTCTTTCTGAAAAGGTAGAACTTTGGTAGGCACTAAACACTCAAATGAGTTTAAGTAATATAAAATTGATAGTTAGTTAAATTTTAAATTTTTATGAGTGTTTGAAGAATCTAGCTGAAGATCCACAACAGGCAGCAATAGATCTTACCCTTAAAAATTCAGCAACCTTTGCTGCTAGCTGCTGCTGCTCAAAGGAGCACTGATTTCCATGCCAAGTGAAAATTGTGGAGCCAGATTGCAGGACAAAACACTCAGTAGAATTCAATGATGATGGCACCTAAATAAAAATAACATAAAAATGGATGAGGACTAGGGAAAAAAGTTAAGCCCTAACAACATGCTTGTGGAGGTAAAAATGAATTCTATGGCACGTACAGCATCAACTTGTACTGCCTTATTGTTATGAATGGAAGTTCCAGAAATTCGAATAAGTGCAATACACTCTGCTGTGTATGTCTCATCTGATAAGCCTTTGTCTGCTACTAAATTTTTGTATCCAGAGCTCAAACCTCCCTAAAACAGGTGTAAATTAGTTAAAAAAGCTAGCTTCTCTAAATTATACTATATAGATCCCTAAAAACACCATGTAGTTCTGCTCATGATACCTTAAGGACCACCATAGGTTGGAAAAGAGCAACAAACTGTGGTGGCTCTTTACCTTCAAATATGCGACCCTGCAAGAAACTACTGTAAATTATACACGTTTTCCAAGCAATATCCCAAACTTGATATTTTGGATTACAATACCTGAACAGGTCTACCCTTTAATGAAGTGAACATTGTATTGGCCAACCGAGTAGCCATGGTTTGGTCCTCCTGAATGGGAAATTTAACCAAGGTCAAAAGCATTCAAAACAAACTTATTTTATTTACAAAGATGTTTTAGCGTGAAAAATTCAATTTGACAAACTAGTGATGAACAGTTATCAAATACATACTAGTAACTAAAATACAATAATTTGTGGAGTTAAACATAATTTTAAATGTGAAACCTTGCGGAAACATATGTTGGGGGAAAGTGCCAAAAGGCCCAAAAGCATTTCCATTTAAGAATGACTAACTGCTCAAGTGGTTAATTAGGTAATGAGCGATTACTGATTACTAATTAACCACGGTTTGAACAATGCTAATCAGTAAAGTGATCAATTATCTCTATACACGAAGTATTCATTCCAACAATCTTCCATAACTCTAGAAGGACAATTGAATAAAGTTAACATTTTTATCCAAAAAGAAAGATACTTCTGTGCAGATGGATATTTTAATGTATTCTATACTTCTAGAGGTCAGTTAATGCATGTTCAATTCAGCTTATTTTGAAGAAATAATTGCTTTTATTTAAGCTTCTTAAATGCTTATGAAATATTGAACCATATATAAAATCCCAACTTGCCAATTAGACTCTGTATGCAGATCAAACATTGCAGCCCCAAGCAACAGCATGGGCTGTTACATACCAAAATAATCCATTATGAAGATGATGGGAACTCTATCCAATTAAATATTCTACCTTTCACATTTCATGTAGTAAATGTTAAGCAACAGAAGCAAGAAATAAGGATAAAAAAAGGATTATTTCTATGTGAATAGAATGCTTATAAATTATATGTGAAATACAAGTCCTTATGTTATTTGGTAACAAATATTGCCTTTATGGTCTCTGATTCTATCAGCATGTGTTTCTTTCCGAATATCTGCTCAACAGAATTGCACAATAGACAGGAGAACTCCATTGATTAATGGGCTCATTTGCTTTCTATGTTTCACTTTTGTTCTCTGGTTGATCACCCACATGTATAAGGGATAAAAAGAGGATATTTTATCCATCTTGTAATCATTAATTCCACCTTAAATAAGCTAGTTATTAATTCTCACCAAAATTGAGGGTCAAGTTTTTTTTTTTTTAACTAAAAGAAGCAATTTACTAAGACAGAGAAGACAATCATAAGGAATTTTAGGGATAAGGGGTACAAGTTAATGAACAAGGAGAAAAATATAAAACAAAGAAAATAATAAAAATAAAATGAACGAAAGCTACCAAATTCCTTAACATACTTATGTTTTGAAGATAGCAATTCTTGTAAGTTTCTGATTTTGTGCTCTGACTCAAACCAGGTAAAAAAACTAGCTTGTTCCTTTTTAAATAACCACAGAGCTCTAAGTTCAATAAAATAAAATAAAATAAATGATTCCTAAGTATATTTCTCTACATTCAGTATGTCAATCACAGCCATGAATTTGCAACCAACAGTAAGTTTAATAAAATAAAATTAAATATTCCTAAGTATGGAAGTTCTAGGTCAGTCCAAACAGTCTTAACACAGAAAAGTGAATGGATAAAATAGAAATTGAACTGATCAACACATATTTTGGGCTCAAATCAGAAGGACCTAAATTACCTCAATACTGTCTTTGCCAAACCAACAGCACAAGTAGTAGTCTTCTTTCCTCTCACCAGAGTGATATGTGTACAGTACAATGTAACAATCTCCACTATAAAATTTACCAATATTCTCCTTTGGCAATGGAGTCTTAGCACTTCCGTTGATTTGCCATACCTGAATTTTAAATGATATCACATGTTCATAGGTGTAATTTAATCTAGCCAAGGAAAGTAGGAAACTTTATAAAGAAAATTGAACAAACCTCTATCTTTCCACCTCCTTCAAGTAAGGGTGGAATTTCCTCATTTACAGGGGTACTTTTTGTCATTCCTTTGACGCCCATACCTTGTTGCTTAAGCAATGCTGATAGTAGATAAAATAACAAATTTGTCAGTATGGCCAGTTAGGCAAAGTGTCAAGTCCAAGTAGTGAGAACAGATGATTCCACCTGCAACTTTTCCTCTTCCTTCCTCAGCACCAGTACTAGCAGATCCTGATGGCCAAGAATCAAAGTTGGACTTAAATGAATGTGTCTCGTAACCTTGAATAATCCTGGTTATCCTTGTAGACTTTGGCCTACTTTGGCTTGCAAGAAACTCCTGTAGATATTACTAGAATTGATGAATCCAATTTTAACTAACAGATGAAGAAGTAAGAAGTATATTCTACAATGACATTACCTCAGCTGCTTGGCAAGCTGCTTTTCTTTCTTCAACTTGTGTTACCCGGCCAACCCAGACAAATACCTCAGCACCGCAGTCCAGCAAATAGCATTTGTTGTTTTCCAACAGTGATTTAGAAAGTTCACCTTCCACAGCCTTGACCTCACCATCAGTGATACTGCAGACAAAAGTCATACAAAGTTATTCTCCATTTTAGCTATCAGAATGAAGCATTCCAACAACCATATCCAAACTATTGTTATGCTAATCAACACATGATGACATGATTATATCCTCCAGGTCAATTCCTAGTGTGCATGTATAGCAAACAATCAAACATTGACTTCATTTGAATTTATACAGGTAAAACTACTAAAGAGGAAAAAAAAATGAGACATAAAAATTTAAGCATTGCAATGATAAGATTATTTAGCAAAAACAAATACTGAGCCAAGTACAAGTCAGCAAGCAGCAATGAAAAGACATCTTCATGCTTCAGACAGAATAAGAAGAATTCAAAGGTCTATAATTTTAATGAAATCTTCTCACATTGCATAAAACATTCAGATAACAAGCACAAAATATATACATCAATATTTCAAATCATAAGCATCTGCTATCCACTATGATAAATTATATAAGATTTATAGTAATATTTATAAAAAGGAATGATTCAACAAAAAACTATACTAACAGAGCCTTATCCCACAAGGTGGGGTCACTACATGGATCAAACAATGGCATTGGGCACTATCAGCCAAATTTTCAATAAATATAATTAGAGCAAGGTCCATTTTAATAGCCTATCTAAATGGTTTCACTGGTTTTCTTCTGCACTTCTTAGTTGGATTATCTTCCATCATATCGATCTTTTCACTGGGTCTCTGTTGGTCTTCTACTTACATTGACCAAACAAGAGCTAATTGTATCTTTCTATAACAACTCAATTGATTAAAAATAACTTTTCTAATCTTCTTAGATCTTACTTGCAAATAAGATGATTTACAGACTTTAAAACAATTATACAGAAGCTAACAATTTGTTTGTCTTGCTTGTATAATTAGTCTTGGTTGAAAAACAACCAAATGTCAATCTCTAGTTATATGATCTTTTTGAAACACGTACTTCAGGTAAAATGTGGAGGGGAGGAGGGGGCTTGAGGAAGATGAAATAAGCATACCTATAAAGCTGAGCAGGAGTTGTCTCCGGAATGATATCATCCTCACTGATTACTTTCTTTCCAATGGGAGCAAAACCACCAAAGAGGACCCAAAATTCACCCGAGTCTGATTCAGTGTCTAACTTGCCATCATCTGCAATGTGGAACAGTTATTTTATAAACAAACAAACAGATACACATTCGAAGAATATAAATATGTAATAATATAATAGGAAGAGTGCCTTACCAACAATTGCAACATCACATGTCCCTTCATGATATTTTTCTTTAAGAAACTGTATAACTTCCAAAGCTTTGGCTCTTTCCTGAATATTGGAATTTGCACCATTAAATTGATAAATCTTATTCTGAGAGTCTAGTATGAATACATCATCATGGTTCAATGAAGACCTTGCAAAGGGGACCTGTCAAAGCAAAATGTTAATTTACATGCACACCAAATTAATGAAGTTCATGAATAGAGAGCATTTTACCTGTTTCAATCTTACAACTCTTTTCCCTCTGCATACATATAAACGGGTTTCAAACTGCTCTTCTTCAGGTGTTTTAAACCCAGATGCAACACCCCCCTCTAGTGGTATTATACATGGTTTAAAATATGATAAAAACTTGTCAGATTCATGTCCTTGGATTTCTCTGTGCTGCACTGCACGCCCTCCAAGAGCAGCATCAAGTTCAACAGTTTTAATGGCTGCAGTTCCAGCCTCATCCTACAAGTAAAATCAGTGTGTCAGCCAAAATAATTATTTTTGTCAAGAAGATATTTGTTCAAGGATTTCCAAGCAACAGTGATTCATGGAACCACAGGCCCATTGAGAACAAAAATGGTGGAATCAATGCATCTAAATACTGCACTAAAACAAGACAGTAAGGGTGGGGGGGAGGAGGGGGTGCATTCTGAAACTGCATAGAGACATAAAACAGTCATGAAACAGTGATTTCTTCAAACACATGATAATACAGGTTCAATTAATGCAAGCTGAATTGGGCAAGATTCAGGGAGGAGAAGGAGGATAGTGCAGTGCAAGCTTACCTGACTTGTATCCTTCCCAATCCAGAAGTGTAAATCATAAAAATATGAGCCTCCTTTGCCTTGAGTTGTCTATAAAATACACATGAAATGAATACCCTTATTTAGAAAAAATGAAAAGGGATAAAAAGCTATATTCTACCCTAATAGAAATTATGTTAGACGGCACTGAATCTATATTTTCACAAGATGAAATGTTGTGTTAAAAGCTTTGCTTATATATCATGTACCTTGATTTAAACTAGTCACATTTTTTGGATCACTGTGAATTTGTGCATAGAATTTCCATTTTTCTATTTGTCGTGTAATGAAAATAACCATAATATTATCTGTTACAATCTAAGAGGAAGCAAAGAAGTAATTTAAAGCATTGTACATGGCCCCTTAAAATTAGGGTTAACTCTTTACAGATTATCCAGCTTCTAGTATCACCAAACAGGGACATGAATCACACATCATATACAAACACATCTAAGGACTAAGGTAATAATGGATTTAGCTCACACCTGCAAGATGATGTATGAATCTCCCATGTAGAATTTCCCATATTCAGATTTGGGCAGTGGAACTGGCTGAAAATTCTCAATCCTCCATATTTCAGTTCCTCTACAGCAAGTTAAGTTTAAAACATCTCAAAGTATAAAGTATATTCGATATGTAACAATCCATCAACTTAAGCTTTTGGGATAATATGTTTAACATGGTATCAGAGCCTCCATATAACCTAGTGGTCTGAAATTCAATTGTTGTTCTCCATTCTTATAAATAAAAGTTAAATTACAACACAAGGTGGTGTGGGCTTGGGCATCATCCATGCATCAAGCCCAGTGGCGGTATGTTAGACATAAAGTCATTCACATGCCTTCATCCAACAGCTAAAACTTTATTTTCCTTTTTTTTTTTGGGGGGGGGGGGTGTTGGAGGGTATTTGGCTAGTGACAATGATCAAGTCATGTTTATAGATAAAGATTAATTACATAAGCTTTGATTACTCTCTCAGCAATAAACTTCTATTGTCTCTTTCATCTTTTACTTTATATATATATTCCACAAATTAGTTTTTATAAACCACACCCTTTATTTAAAGGATACACTCTTTGACCAACTCCCTGGAATGCAGGATCCACATTTTTTGTTGAGCTGGACATGGCTTAATGTTCCTTATCAAAGTATGGTTCTTCTTTTTTTCTTTCCAGCAAAGACTGTCTGTAAATGCCAAACTAATCCACTGCATGAGGAAAACAGAATTAAGAAAAATACACATAAGACTCAGCACTATCCAGATAAACTAGTTGCACTTGCATATTCTCTGATACTAGTATACTACAATATTGTGCACACAACAGAATGACAAAAGTTTATAAGTATCAAATGAAGTGAAGAGAACAGAAACAGAATAAAGCCTTCATTTCCTCTTCTAATATAAATATACTTTCTATTTCTTCTATAACATTGTAAGCACAAACAACAAACAAGAAGCGGATTTATATAATTGGAAAATGAGTAGATCAAGAACCATGGGAACAGAAATAATATGTTCTACTTTAAAAGATAAAGAAAGAAATAAAGGATCTCCATATCAACAAAACTTCCTATTTTCATATGTTATAAAATTTTCAGCTTTTATTTTTTTATTGATATAAATTAGAGGTTCAAATTAATTTAGAGAACATAATGAAATGATGATTAAGTTGGAACAAAAAATCCAATCATGGAGTAAAGGCATGCCTTTCATGTTAATCAATATCCGTAAGAATTATGAAAGTTTGATGTTCAACATAACTTTAAAAATAACATCATAGGATTGCCAAATTTGACATTAGCCAAGCTTTGCAAGACCTGGGTTCTTATAAGAGATTGACACCTAGAGCAGAAATTCAATGAATACAGTTTAGTAGGTGGAGTCTCATACAAGTTATCCCTTCTCCTACTAGAAAAACTAGGAACTCATGATATCAGTTAATGAAGATCTACACTGGATCTGAAAAGTATGTCATGTGCATAGGGTGGCTTAAAATCTACATTCAGGATCAAACCAAGCTTTGGGGATGTCAAAACTCGGTAGTCCAACAAACTGATCCACATACATTCATCACCAAACAGATGTAAGCAGAGACATGCTAACAGTACCTTCCATAAGGTTCAGCCAGTACTTATATTCAGTAACAAGTCTTGCCAATTTTCTAGTTAAGTTAAAAATGACAACAAATTAAAACCCTTTTAAGTAAACTTCATTAGGTAAAAAATCTCATTGGTATTTGTGAATCAAGCATCCATGTTAAGGCAATTTCGGGCAAAATATTTCATCAGCCTCGGGACTTATTCATATCAGTAACATTCTCCAAGGCGTTTCTCCTCAAGTCAACAACATTTTCTTAGGCTCCTCACTCAGCTTCAACCGACAGTAACAAATCACATTTTGACCAATAATATCCTCAAGTGCCACAAAAAGACTATTTATTTCTCTTTTTTCTTTTCCTCTTTCCGCTACCTCCATTCAATCAATGAGCATTTCCAACATAATATGCAAGAGAAGATTACCAGTCTACAGTAGTTGCATTATTTTCACTTTATATTCAGATTATTGTGTCTCAAGTCTCAACTATAGATTAGTTCTGTAGACAATGAAGCAAACACTAACAAGTTGTGTCACCAGAACAACCGCATATCTATGCCATGCATGTCCCTAGCCTCCCAGCTCTCTAATTAGGCTGATACTGTTAACAGAAAGCAACATTACCAGCTTAAATTAAAGTGCTATTGCTGCAAAGACTTGAGCAAATAATCACTCTTCTTCAGCTTGTTCCTCCATACAACATGTCTCATACCGAAGTTACTAAAAGCCAACTTCGGAAAGCATTCCAGATTTTCAAATTCCATTCAGTATTCCAAAATCTGAGAAACTATCGTAAAAAATCGTGAAATTTTGGGCACCACCTTGATCGAAGCTAAGGATCAAATAGTAATTAGAAAAAACATATGAAGGAGTTAAATTTTGGAACTTCGATTTATCGACTTGAACGCTAAGAACAACCAGCACCTTTCATCTAATTCTCGTTAAAGCATTTTCCCCTCAAATTAAATGCAAGCAGATGAACATGCCAATTGATCAAAGCTTCGAAATTAAAAAAGAAAAAACTTGCAAGTCGTTGACACACACACACACACACAAAAAAAAAAAGACAAAGGAAAACACAGACAAGCGTGAAATCACACACACACACAGAAAGAGAAACAAAAATGAAGAAAAATCAAAACCGATCCAACACCGAAAATCGAAAACAATGAACACGCACAAAATCACCACAAAAAGACGGAGAAACAGATCACCGCACACGGAACTTGACACAATTGGAAAACAAATAGAACACTGAATCGGATAACAAAAAACATTGACGACGAAGGATCATCGATTACAGATAGCGTTAACAGAGGAAGGAGGAATTGTATTGAGCAAGGCGATAATTGAATTGACGTATACCTGAGATCTCAACGGCGATGATGAGTTTCAGAGAGAGAAAGAGAGAGAGAGAGAGAGAGAGAGGAATATAGTTGAAAAAGATAGTGAAATAATTGCTGGGCCTGTGCGTTGTCTTTCTCTCTCTAACTTTTGAGGCTTTTGAGATTTGCAATTCAGAGAGAAAGAGAATGAGTTGCAGAGAAAAAAAAGGTATGTCGTGTATGGATGAATTATGGCAACGATGAATGAAAAAAGGGCGGTGAGGTGAAACGAAATGTGAAAGAATGAAAAAATAAATAGATAAACCAATAACAGAGAGAGAGAATGAGACAGAGAGAGAAGGTTAATAGTTATTGTTGCTATTTGTTAAGACAAAAATTTAGGCAATGATCCGTTCACAGTGCCACCGGCCATGTTTCTTTCCTTTTTCGTTGCTGTTATGCAATAATTTATCTTATATCTTATTTTTATAAAACATTTATTTATTTAATTGTTTTACATTTTTATAAATATTTTTTATAATAACTCATTTTTCATTCTCTTTTTATTTACTTCCATTTTCTTTACCAAGATTTGCTCGGTTTGTATATTTCATCACGCCTCAATTTTGTAATTGCCAGTTTTCATTTTTGTATATTAGACATATATCTTGGGAAGGGGTTGCTCGTAAGGGAATGATTCTTGTGAATTAAATATGTTATCAATTTGGGTGTTACAATATTGGAATGGACACAAGCAGAAATTAATCAAATATTTAAGTAGAAATTGTGGGATGCATTTTCCTCCCCAGTTGAAAGGGCAATGGATAGATGAGTCTAAAATTGGTTTTGCAGTGACAAGTTACATCAAAGGCTTACTTTGTTTGTGACTTAGAATTGCCTATATAATTATTTGCATATATAAAGACATTGGAGTTCTGAAAGCGGCGTCATGGTCCAACCTTCACGGATTGGAACTCCTTTTGTCGCTCCTCTGCCTTTAACAAAGCAAAGCCTTGGTAAAATTAACTAAAACTTATAATTTATAATTTATTGATGATAAATTACTTATTAATAGTTTATTGAATTAAAATTATTTAATAAAATTAGTTGATATATATTAAATGACATGAGTGACATGCTTATGACTTAAACTACTTCATAAGTCACATGCTTATCACCCAAAACTTCTAGGTCTAGCATTTTTAATAGAAGCTTATCATTTAATCAAATTTTCATCGTTTATGAAAATGCATATTCAGATTAGTGGAGTTATGTTACTCTCATACATATTTTTTATAAAACTATTTGATAATTTGTTTTGAATTTTATTTATTATTTCACTCGTCTTATCTCACACTTCTCTTTTCTCTTTCTATTTCTCTCTTAATTGTAAAATAGGGCACATTGAGAATGACGATGAAAACAACTCATGAAAACAATTTGAAGGCTAAAATCCTAAATTTGTAATATAAAAGTTGAAAAAGATAAATTATTAAAACTAATTTTAAAAAAATAACTACTTTTGCCCATGGATATTTCAACAAAAATTGCAACCATTTTCTACCATTGAAAAGAGGATCTTAGTTATCAGCAGATAAGAGTGGCACGTCGGCTTCTAATTTAGATTACAGTACGTTAAGGTTAACTAATGCGCTATACATAGCAAAGAACCTTCTTTTACTGTTAGTCTTGGAAAACGAAAACCACACCTCTAAATATAGCTATTAAGCCAAACATCTAACCTCTAATTTAATGAGTTTCTTCTTTTGAAAGAATTTCTGAAGCAAGAATGATGGCCGGGTGCATGAAAAAGAAAAACAAGTAACAATAAAAAATCAAAATGCTATATGGTAATCTAATGTGTATTTGACTAAGGACTGCTTAATTATATGGTCATTGTATTAAATTCAGAAGAGTTAGTAACACCAAACCATCCAAAATATGTTCTTGAATTATCAAATTGAAAGACTAGCATAACCGGTCAAAGGCACTAAAATTAAGAAAATCTGGATAACTTTGCACTGTTTCTCAACAACGACATGGTTATGGTGACCAGCTTTTGCCGTTCCATCTAATCTTGCTATGCATATAAGCTGTTACAATTGGGGAAAAAAACTGTAAACAAAATGGTTTTTCAAGGAGTACATGAAAGAGTCATATTCAATCTTCAACTAATTTAGCCTACAAATCTATTTTATTTGTATAAAATTGACAATATCTTTTAAAGAAAGAAAGAAATAAATAAAGGCTCATTATTATTTGCCAAAAGACGTATGTATCTTACTATGAGTACAAGATTTTATAAATTGAAATAGTAGAAAGACTTTTAACATTTTTGGTACCTAAAATATAGAATATAACAAAATAAAGAAGCTATAGTTGCTATGGTTTAATGCAAATAGAGTCACCAATTAAACTGGATACCATACTGGGGGCACTAGATACCAAGATAAGACTTTGAAATTATGTCACTTAGGCTTAAAGTGAAAAATTCCCTTCATGAATGGCACAAAACAAGAGAAGAGAAAGAAGAGAAATGGATAATAAAATGCTTTCTCATTACTTGTAAGTTTAAACTTGGCCGCCAAAATTTGATCTATAGTAAGAATATCTTTTAACACTGGGTGTAGTTTTTCGTTGTTCGTTTTTTCTACTGTGTTCTTAAGGGTGCATGTAGTTAAAAGTAAAAAAGAAAATGTATTAAAAATTAATTTTTTTTATTGTCTCAAATTTATGAAAAGCATTTAATACATACTTTCAGTGATATTTAATGTATAGTATATTTAATACTTCTTAAAATGTTGTCAAGAGTCAATTTTTTAAATAAATTTTTTGGATAAAAGGGAAGCAAGCTAGAAAAGACATTATTCAGATTTGTAACAGTAAATAAATTAAAAGATATACAAATTAATAACGAAAGCAGTATCAAAATTACGAAAACAAAGGTACATTTGATTTAAGAAATGAAAAAAAGAAGAAGACATAATATACCTTTGTTTTAATAGTACGTAAAAATTGAAGCATACAATTTTAATTTTGTTTAACGTTAAAGAGTGATTTTGTTAACTTTCTTTTTCTAAGTTATATAATTCTTCTTTGGACTAAGAAGTTAACTTATCACATTATTTACGGTATACTTCACAGTATTTTTTAGCATTCTTTATATTTAAAAGTAGAGACTTTTTGTCACTATCTCATATCTTTTATATCAAAATTTCTAAAATATATAGTTTATAACCATAAATTTAATTGAATGAGGTGTAATAACTAAAATCATATTGTAGAAAATTAAGAAAGGAAGAAACATTGAATACCGATTTTCATACCCTGATCTGTGTTGGTGGGAACTAAGTGCCAAAAATAGGATCACACGCTGATTGAATCTAATAGATATGTACTATCTATAAGCAAATTAATCGAATATTCATCTGAAAGTAAAAACGAATATTCTTTTGAAGCCCAAAAATCAAGGAATTTAAGCTGAAATTCTCGTGTTTTTTTGCACAAATGTTCTTTTGTAGATAAAATTAGGATAAATTAACCTTTATTTTATATTTTTTTACTTTATTTTTAAAAATAAAATCATGCATAAAATTCTTTTGAAAATTTATGTCCATGGTTTGAATTTTAAAAAATATTAATAATTTAATTTTAAATATCTAAATTTAACTACAACTAAATAATTTCTAACGAAATTAAATTTTTTAATTTAAATCACATATATTCTCTAACTTCATAAAATCCTCCTCCTTCCCTCCAAATCACCCATCCAATGCCACATCGTTCAATTAGTCATTTTACGACTCATGCAAAGTTTTTTCTGGTACTTTTTCTTTAGCTTTTTATATGTTTTTTTTTTTTTTAAATTTCTCTCCTTTTTTTTTTTTTTTTCCTTAATACTCTTTTTCTTTTATTAGTATGTACATTTTAAAATTGTAATTAATTAAAAAAAGGGAAAATAGAACTTTTTGAAACATAAAAAAAAAGTTATCTATTCATTCATTTATACATAAAAATATTATGTCATAAATGTGGTTGATTTAACATTCAATATTACATATAAAATTTGGAGTAATATTTAAGATGAGCATAAAAATATTATATCTTCCACTTTAATAATAAATGCTTTTTTTTTTTAATTATTACAACTAGAGCTCCTTTTTATGTGCAACTTAATTTTTAAAATAACATTAATCTTTCAAAAATGAGTTATGTACATGTAGTTTACATTACTTTTTTTTTTCCAATCAATATATTGTTAAATTAATTAATCTTAAAATTCAGAGATAATCAAAGTGCATATAATATTTTATACAAAACATATTTATATAGACACGAGGCATTACCCTTTTAACAAGGTTATATATATATCGTTAGGTTAATTGGCCACCTGACTATTATAATTTTTCTAGTTTAATTATTTTTCCAGCTATTTATCACAAAATTTCTCAACCTAAGTTCTTTCAGTTAATTTTTAAAAAAGAAATGTATAATTAATATGAAAAATTTTCAAGCAGCTAGTGAAAAATACGTTTCCTAAAAAAAAAAAAAACTAAACAAATGCATTTTTAGCTATCTGAAATATTTTGCCATCTTTCTGTCTTGTCTTTTTTTTTTTTTCCTTTTATTATTTCTATCATTATTATTTAAAGTTTGACAAGATGAATTGAGAAAATATTATATTAATCTTGATTTTTTTTTTAAAAATTCGGTGAATATTTTAACATTAATAGTCTTGATTTATTTTAAAATAAAAGAATTGAGAGAAATATTAGCAAATTGATTTTATAATTTTCCTGTTACGTGTTTAAAAGGTAATGTGTTTCATCGGTATATTTAATTTATTTTAAATTAAAATTAAAATTAAATTCTGTTTACATATTAGTGCGTAGCAGCATGTTTATAGACATGTTTTTAGCGCAAATTTATCAATTCTCAGCAATAATTTTAGTTGAATTATAAAATTTTAAAATATAATTTGTTTAAAAATATAAATTACTTAAAAAATAAAATAAAATAAATAACATAAATAAATAGCAAAAAAATAAGGTGTTACATTTTTTTTTTCTTGTTTGAGAGGTGGATGACAATTGACAAGTGAACACTTTTAGTCTTTTTTCTTTGTTGTTTTTTCTCTTCTTGCATGTAATAAAAAATTAATTTATTGAAGGACCGTATTACCTTACGAGTATTATAACTTACTTTAAATTGGTTAAAGTATGTAAGAAAGAAATCAAAACTAAGAACATGAGTATGTCATCAAATAACTCTAACTTTAATAACTTTAGTTATTGGACATCTTCATAATGTACTACTCCCTTATCTT